CCCGCGCCGGGGGCAGGGCGAGGGGGAAGCCAGCTCTGCCTGGTGTGTGAACACAGATAACAGTTAAGCCCGGTGCTGTCACCGCGCAGCTCCTGGCCTCTCCTGAACACGGCTGCTGTTGTCGGAGCTCCGATAACCCACCGCAGCGCGGCCGTTCAGAGCAAGCGCTTGCCTTGGAAAGCGGCCAGCCAGGAGCAACGTTCCCCTGCAAAGCTGCTTGGGGCCTTTTAATGAATACCAGGGATGTCTCAGGCCCATCTACATCAGCTCCTGCTGGGCAGCCTCTCCTCCTCCCGTCACCAGCAGATGCCAGAAGCAACAAACGCTCGCACCAGTAAAGCTCTGCCCTCCCTCCTCGTGCCCAGTGCCAGCGTGGGAACGGGACTGGTGCAGCGTGAACCGGGCAGGGACGAGTGCCCTCCTCCTCCGCGCTGGCACAGGACCCCCGGCGAGCCGGAGGGAATTACCCGTGAGGTCATGAAGAGCAGCTTGGTTTCCATGTCGGGAGTGAGGCGACACGCCAGGAATTTGCGAGAAGTCCTCGACTGGAGGAGCTGCAGGACACCTGGGGAGAGACAGAGAGGTCGGTCTGCGCTCGCACGGCACGAACGGGATCCGGGAAGGGATCTGCCAACATCTGCAGCGAGCTGAGTTCGGAGCATTAAGCTCTGTTTCCCCAAGGCTACAGGCAGGGGAAAGGGATCAAGATTTTGTCTGGAAAAGGTCTCCTAAAACATCTCCCGTCTGGAGCAAGCTTTTGTCCGAGATCACTAACGAGGATACCAGGAAGGGGAGCGTGGAGAAATGGAGCGAGGATGCACAGCAGGGCTGGGACAAGATCTGGAGGAGAAATGAGCCAGTCCAGACGCCAAGTCCCAAGCCGTAACCAACAGAGCACGATCCCCGTCTCCCACGCCGCGGCCTGGGCACCAAAAAGCAGAGCTGGCACAGAGAGCGCCCATCTGGGCCGTGCCAGCACGCGAAGTCCAACCCCTCCCCCGCAGTAAAGGTACCCAGCTCTGACAACGAAGACCAGACATCAGAGAAAACCCGTGGGTGCACGCGCCCGTGGAGAACAGAGGATGGGAAGGAGAAGGGGAGGTTGCAAATCCGCTCTCGTTCCCAGACAGCTGCAGGATGAGGAATTTACGACCCAAGCGGAGAGGTTTCGCTGCTGCTTGACAAGACCTGAAGGATTTGCAGGGCAGCCAGCTCCGACGCAGACAGGCAGGCGCCAGCGACGCTGCGCACACGGGGCTGCGCTTCGCTCTCTTGCCGGATGGAAGCTCGTCCTTCTGCCGCGCAGCCCCAGGGTCACACCTGGGGGAAGGAGAAAAGCTTCAAAGCAGAAAGAGCAGATGCCAGCTCCTGCGGAGCTCAGAGCAAGGGCGCAGCGAGCTGCACGTCACGGGCAGAGAGCCACAAAAGCCCCTCGCTTGTTAAGAGCCCCCAGCTGCTCAGAGGGAGGGCCGGGTCCTGCGCCCACAGCCATCTGCTGCGGCCACCTCCCCGCACGCTCGGTGCTGCTGAGCTCTGGCCCTGGTCGCAGGAGTGGAGCTCAGCAAGACCGGCTCAGATCGGGGGTTACAGAGTGGTACAAACCCAAGAGCACGTGGACCGGTAGCTGCTAGAGACAACAGCCACCTCGAAGAGCAATTATTACAGGCTCTCAACAGCAGGCAAGAGGGCAAAGAAAAAGCCTTATGACCAACTGCAGGGGAAATTATTGTCGGGAGGGGACCTTCCAGGCTCCACACGAGCAAGAAGTACGAATGAAGGCACCCCTGGACAGATCTGCTTCTGCTCGGAGTCCTCCCATCCAGCTCCCAGAGCCAGCTGCGGAGTCCTCTGCGGGACAGGGAGGAGTGGCAGACCCAGAGCAGGAGGAGTGACAGACCCAGAGCAGGGAGAAGTGACAGACCCAGAGCAGGGAGGAGTGACAGACCCAGAGCAGGGAGGAGTGACAGACCCAGGGCAGGATCCTGGTGCTCTGCCAGACACAGGCCAC